CACATTCTTGCCACGTGGATTTCCCCACAGACCATGGAATTTTTGGGATCTGAATAACCAAGATCCTAAGTACGCAGATCCTTCGACCATAGATGCATCTACTATTTGCCCAGCATTGCTCTTGGTTCGATCGTATAGTGCTAAAGTTATTCCGAGAGCACACATTAAACCACCGCCGCCAAAATCAGCGGCCAGATTAACAGGCGGTATGGGTTTTTCATTATGACGACCAAATAAAGACAGTAATCCTGTGTTAACAATTTGTAGCATTCTTACACTCATGATAACATAATTAGGTTCTATTGATAAAAAGATGCTTTATGATAGAAAAACCATCAAAGTATATAAATTAATTTTATATAAATATATAAGTACTGGTCAATAAATGACTATAATAAAACGTCAAAAAGAATTGTATTACCAGATAAACCTAAATAATTTATATCGTGTCCAGCCATATCTGCATAAGAACCATTTTGACCATATCCAGTTAATCTAGCATATATCAACTTTTTATTTGTGGTCATAAGTTCCTTTGGTCCAATCTTCAACTTTTCCATGACACCTATTAAATGTATATTTATGTAAATTAAAGGTTTTATTCTTTATTGTTATTAATTATATATTTAAATCTGAAATTACATGTCGCTAAACATTATTATACTTAACTTATTTGTTAACATACAGAGCTTCCTTAAAAGAACCTATTAAAATTAATTAATAATACACACATATATGTACCTCTCCTGTATGTGTCAATAACAACATCACTTTGGTCGCTTAATTTTTTGAAAATATTGATACCATCCTCAGATTTTAAATTTAATGCTATCGATCTCTTTCCATGGCCCAAACAATCTAATGTTTGAGCTGCAATCTGTAGTGATAAAATAGTAATATTAATTTCTATTTATTCATATTTCAATATAAGCTATATATAAACATTTAGTATAATTAAAGTTATAATTCTAATAGAATACACCTTGTCTACTCTGATAACAGATGCTCCGAAATCTGCCAAAATCATTCCACAGAAGGGCCCTGCAGAGAGACCAGCTAACTCCAAAACTTTGATTCCTTTTAAGGCCATACTGCTTTTGTTGATGTACCAATTAAATTTTAATTCAATATAATCATCAGTCAATCTAATTATGTGAATTCTCACTGCTTGGGAAACTCTTCTTTCAATAAAATATTTAATTAAATCTGTTCTTTATGGATTAATTGGGTAAACAACATTAGGTATCAACTGTGTACAATAAGACTACTTTTATACAAATGATATTAAAAGAAGATATGAATTAATCACAGTAATGAGAGTTTAATGAAATAAACCAATGCAATTTAAACTTGCTATTGATGCTATGTAAAACTAATAAATTTTATCAGAATAAGCACAGAGATTGTATAAATTTTTTATGTAATGCAATATAAAAAGTTATAGAAGTAATTGACCTGAAAATTATGCATTATTAGTCCAAATCAAATGTAATTATAAATTCATATTCATAGACATTTACTAATATACTGAATAAATATACAAGATATGTAGTAAACTCTCAGCAATTTAGATGAAAATATAAGAAAACATATATTCTGTATTCTGTATTCTGCATAATTATCAACATTAATAACATAAAAATCTAATTTCTAAGATCAAGAGATTTCTAAATATCAATATCCAAGTGTCAAGATACTGGTAAATATAATTATATGTATATATCTTTGTCATTTATATATAAATTTATATATAAATGACAAAGATCTATCAAATAAGAGAAAACATGATTCTTATTTCAAGATTTTAACAAGTGAATTATTTCATGAAAGATTCTATTCCTCCGATTTATTTAGTAAATTTATAGTCACATTTTGTGAAGGTCTTTTTTAGGACTCAGACAAAAGATTCGAGCTTTTTACACCTATATTCAAACTATTCGAACAGATTAAATCTAAAAGTCATAAAAAAAGCATCGAGTTCGGACTCTCGGAGTGCTCGAGAGCTCGATTTGGATAATTCAATCTGTTCGAACATATCTTCAGCTCGGAAGACCCGAACTCTCTTCGAACTATCCAACTGATAGATTACCTGAAATTTTCAAGCGCTTGTTGCTTTGGTACTGTTGTACTCCTTCCTGGTAAAATTTGCAGACTGATGATGATTGCATAGAAAAATCGACTAATATACACGATTCAAAATACGCCATGTTGTAAGTTTTTTTTTAGAAATGTGATTGGTTATCTTTCTTATAAATATTTATTATGCAGCAGTATGTATTGTACAAATTTCTCTAGATATATTTTTAGATCTAAAAAGTTTTAAAAATGAATTCTGTAAGCGCGACCCTGGTGAAAAATATTCTCAGAATTTTTCATAAAAAATTTTCAGATTTTTTACAAAAATTTTATAACTTTTTCAGAAAATTTTAAGATTTTTTATATGAATTGGCACACTTTTCAGAAAAGTTCAGAACAGAAATAAAAATATATAAAAATATATGAATGAATTCATTATTTCTCATATTTTCCAGATCTGTATATATTAAAGCACGTGTCCACGATGCAAGAAATTGGTTCGAGTTCTTGGTCCAAAATGGTTGGATTGCTTCAAGAAATGTATAACCAATCAACTTGCTGTTTTTCCATAAAAACTTCAATTTAATTGACTATACATTTCTCGGACCAAGAACTTGGACCAATTTCTTGCATCGTAGACACAGGGCTTTAGAAATATCAAATATTTTTACAAGTTGAAAAATATACGATTTATCAGCTTTTATTTTTCTACCTTATCTTTGAATGCATTTCATTTAGCAATGTAAAAACATGTTATTCTATATTTATTTTCTAGTAGATATCGAACATAGAATGTCACGTTAACATACATGTTAATACATGTTTTATTCTGTGTTTGACATTGTAAGATATTTATCGACAGTCTGTATTTTTTAAATAAAGATGATAAAAATAATGTTCGGCAACGACTAACTTTTCAAATGATAAAACGGTTACGTCCTATGTCTGACCTTATTTATTTTATTTAACTGAGTTTTAACCGACAACGATGTTATCATGGATGGAAAAGCAGTTTGTAAAAAGAATGTTAAAACACTGATTCTAACAGAACACTTATATTGAAGATCAATTTAATCTAACTTAATCTCTAATTTAATCTAACAGAGATTTTACAATGTTCGACTCTCTAACGTCGGGTCGAGCCATTAAGTCGCAACGAGAAAAAAAATTATAAAGAGACTGTCGGAAGTATTAAGAAATAAAAGAACTTGTATTTTTTTCGGTCGAGTCAAACATTGTAAAATCTCTGTTAGATTAAATTGATCTTCAATATAAGTGTTCTGTTAGAATCAGTGTTTTAACATTCTTTTTACAAACTGCTTTTCCATCCATGATAACATCGTTGTCGGTTAAAACTAAGTTAAATAAAATAAATAAGGTCATAGATAGGACGTAACCGTCCTATCATTTGAAAAGTTAGTCGTTGCCGAACATTATTTTTATCATCTTTATTTAAAATATACAGACTGTCGATAAATATCTTACAACATCCAATGAAAAAGATAGAATAGAAATATATACTTGCGTTAATTTGTACCGTTAAATGAAATGTACTCAAAGGCAGGGCAAAATATGGAAGCTGATAAATCGTAAATTTTTTTTAGAAATATTCCGTTAAATAGAAAAATGTACCTTATTACAACACATACTCGCATACATATACATTTAAAAATTCTATAAAAAATATATAATAATTACAAATATTGAATTTATTACATTTCATACATAATAAATATAAAAACCGCTTATGAAATATAAATTGTAATTATAACATATTATTAGCAAAAATAATTTTTATAATAATTATTATTATAACGCTTGCAGCTATACAGCTATCGAACATTATTACATCAGATTCCGTAATCCTTAAAAATTCCGGTCTAATTAATTTTTTTTTTTTTTTTAATAATTTTCTAAAAAATGTTTTTAAAATATGAATAAATAAGAAATTTTTTCTCAGAATTTTTCATAAAATAAAATTATAAAAAATTCTTAAAATTCTCTAGAAAATTATGAGATGTTTTTTCACCAGGGGAAACGCCAGATGGCTCTGCATTTGGCGCCCTTTTTGACACCAAAGGGCATCTGAGGGCGGTATTCATAGTCCGTTCTTATATTCAAGATCGTCTTAAGCACGAACTTATATTCGCTCTCTTCGTCAGACACAATCTATGTGTGACGAAGAGAGCGAATATAAGTCCGTGCTTAAGACGATTTTAAAATAAGAACGGACTATGGGCGTATTCATAGTCC